AACCACAGCCCCGGGCGGCCGTCGGGCCGGCAGCGCTGTGCGCAGGGCGATGCGCGGGGGGAACTGCGCGGGGCGGAGAGGGCGGGCGCGGGGCTGAGCGCTGCGCGGAGCTGCGGGGCCAGGTGAGCCCCGAAGGGGGGGGAAGCGGGGGGGGACAGTGTCCGTCTGTCTGTCCGCCGATCTCCGTCTGACTGTCCGGCGGTGTCCGTTCGTCTGCCCGTCGGCTGTCTGCCCCGCGGTGGGCTCTGTCTGTCCGTGTGTCTGCCTGTGCCCGTGTGTCCGCACTGAGCCGTTTGTCCCACCGCAGCGCCGATGTCTCGGCAGAGCCGCCCGGAGCCGCGCCGCACCGATCCGCCGCCAGGTACCGGAGTGTGGGGGGGAAGAGAGGAGGGGGAAATGGTCCGAGGGGGGCAAAGTATGTGCATGGTGCTGGGTGTGGGTACGTGTCTTGGGGGTCTGCAGGGGGGGGGGGGCGTGTGTGCGTGGCTGTGGGTGTGGGTACAAGTCTGGGGGGTCGGGGATCGGCGTGTTTGTGCGTGGGGCTGAGTGTGTGTGAATGGCTGGGGAGTCCGGGGGGGAGTGGGGGTGCTTGGGGGGTGCTGGAGCTGCGTGGCTCAGGGAGGGGCGACTCGCTGGGGGCTTTGGAGGTATGTGAGAGAGGTTGGGGGTAGGGGGAGGTGGTGGGAGTGCTTGGCAGGAAGGGGTGCGTGTGTGCGGGGCAGCGGGGGTTGCGTGCCCGGCGTGCGTAGCTGTGTGCGCGGCTGTCTGTGCGTGCACGAGCGCTGTGTGCGTGGCTGTGTGTGAGCACGGCTATGGGGGGCGGGGGGCGAAGGGAGGGAGGCTTTTTCCAGGAAGGCCGCAGTGCGTGCGTGCACGGCCGCGTGTTGCGGTGCCTGTGTGCGTGTGTGCGCGCCTGGCGCGGTGCGAGCGCAGCTGATGCCGTGAGCCTCTGGGGAGCGCAGCACAAACTTCGCAGCGACTCCTGTAACTTTGCCAAGCGCACGGGACGGGGCCGGGCTGGGCTGGGGCCAGCGGGAGCTGGGGGCCCCTTCCCCACCCGCAGGAGCTCCCTGGGGTCCTGCAGGCAACAGCGGGACAGGATTGGGATGTGAAGGAGCGGATGGATAAATTTGGGGGATCCTCACTTTTCCCATGGGACAAAGCTGGGCCCTCGGGTTGCTGATCCTGCAGAGATCCATGCACTGAAAGTACTGCAATGACAGAAAACTGCCGGGGCAGGACGGGGGAGGGGGCTTGGAGGGGAGCTGGGACAGCCCTACTGAGTGCACAAAAGGGGCCACGTCCACCTCTGTGTGAGCTCCAGAAGTTGCTGTGCTGCTGTGGGCACTGGGAGCTGCTCGGTGTCATGCGGGCACAGGGATGCAGAGCCCAGGCTGCCTGCAGCTGGATCACCACTTGTTGCCTTTGGCCTCCAAGCATGGCTGGGCCCAAGTGCTGGAGAATGCATCCTCTTGTTCTCTCCCCCTGCTTCTCCTGCTGCATGCTGCGCTTCCTGGCTGAGCTCTTGGTGCTGCTCTGTTCTGTGAGACCTGGGTTGATGCATGGTGCAATGCTTCCAGGACTCCCCTGATCCAGGTGGGAGATGGGGAACCGCACCTGGACCTCGTGCCAAAAGTTCTTGCATAGGAGTCAGCCGGCAGCCTGGGTTCAGTGGAGCTCTGTGTGCTTTCAGAGCAAAGCTGCCTTTAGGGCTCTTAGAAATCCACTCAGTGCGTTGGAAAAACAGCCCTGCAGCTTTTCTGTGCTCCCAACCAGTAGCAGAGTGCAGGACTTTGCTCAGCACTGCTGCACAAAGTGGGTGTCCCTGAGATGGGGGCACGTGGTGGTCAGGGCCGCTTGGGTGGGGGTCTGTGTGGGTGCTCTCAGTCACAGCACAGCGCTGGGTGTGCACAGAGCATCTCCAGGACATCCCCACATCCACCTCCCCAGGCAGCAGAGACCACACTTTTCACACCAGCAGGAGCTCTGAATTCTTTGCTCACCCAACAGGAGTGCTCTGAAGGGCAGCTTCCCACTGCACGGCGCGAGCGTCGGCTTCTTGCGCACACGGTTTGCTTTTGGTGAGCAGTGAATGGACGCGGCCGGTCAGCACTCAGTGTTGATGGCTGTGTGACGTTGCAGTGCAGAGGCGTTATCTCCTGGGCGCTTTCCAGGGGCCCTGTCCTGCTGCACAGAGCCTGGGAATTTTTGCTCATCTCCTTTTCCAGCACAGTGCAGATGAAAGCAGATCGTTTGGTAGCACCGAGCCTGCAGGATAAGTGGGAAACAGAGTGGTGTTGCAGAGCTGTGGGCAGAGCTGGAATGACACTGCCATGCTCAACCTCATTTCTGTGCTCTGAGTTCATTCCCTGCCATGTCTGGTGCCCAAAGCCCCCTCGTGTCCAGGGCTGCCCAGCCCCAAAACAGCCACAGGTGGTTTGCAGAGGAGCCTTGGAGAGAAAAGGCGATTGTCTGTTTATGTGAAGCATGTGGGGTGTAACTGTTTTCTGGAAGAATTAGCCAAAAAGAAAAAAAGAAAAAAAAAAAAAAGAGAGAGAGAGAAACAGTTCTCCATTTGGCAATGAGGACTGGCTTTGTCTTTGCTTCCCACTGCAGGGCACAGTGATAGTGTGAAAAGGGCTTCCTTGGGACAGGTGGGGTCCCAGAGCCCCCAGCAGCCAGGCAGGAGCGGGGCTGCATCCTGCACAGAGAACTGGGGGAGCAAAGCCCTGAGTGAGGGCAATGCAAAGGGCTCTTTGCTCATCTTAGCTTTAAGTGGAACTGCCCACGGAGCTGCGCTCAGTAAGTGCAAAGAAGAAAAAAAGAAACCCCCCAAAGAAATACATCTTTGTTTTCCCTAGTTTAAGCCTCTTTGCACCAGAAGATCCACTTTAGTTTTCTTTTGTAGTTAGTCATCTGCTCATGAAACACATCATTCTGTTCCTTTCCCTTCTCTACACCAGGAGGACGCAGTTTTCTGGCTTTTTTCAGCCGTTCTTCGTTCTGAGCAAAACAAAGCAGTCCCTCCGGGGCTGTGCCGATGGCCACCCGGGCGTCCCCACTGCTCCTCCAGCTCCTAATTGAATTTCCTCGGGAAGCGCCTGTTCGGCTCTGCGAGCTGCGCAGCTCCAACTGTCCTCGGGGCATTTTCTGTACTTTTCCTGATTTTTTTTTTTTCCCTGCGTTCCGCCCTCTCGTGCCATTCCCCACCCAAACCAGGAGGTTTGGTTGGCAGCACCGGGGTGCTGGGTTGGGGCTGGGGGAGGCTCTGTGCCGTCCTTTCCGTGTGCCTCCACTCCAGTTGTGCTGGTGGAAATGAGCTGGTGCATGCAGCAGATGAGCTAACATGCATTTTTTGCCCCAGATCCCCATCTTCAGGCTTTGCTTTGCCACATGCTTGCAGGCATTGTGCCCGTGGCCATCTCCATAGCCAGGCTTTGGCAGCCTCCTCCCGGCTCAAACAGTGCGTGGTTGACTTTGGGGTTAGTCGGCCCTCACTTCAGTGCTGTCCTGCTGTCTGTCCTGCAGGGCCGTCTGTCCTGCTCTGTGATGTGGTGCTTTGGGGTCATGCTTTCAGCCCACCCTGTGCTCTTTGGGTCGCTCCCCTGGGTGGAAGAGGCTCCCAGCTCCACATCGTGCGGGATGTGGTGCAGAATGGGACAGAATGGGGTGGGATGGGATGGAACGGGGTGGGATGGGACAGTGCTCACCCAGTTTAGCCACTTTTGGTGCCAGGGCTGCAGGTGCAGTGCGTTCTCCCAAAAGGCCTCCCCACCAGCAATGGGTTCGCTGTCTCCAGGAGTGATGATGCCTCCACCCAATGGCTCATTGTTGGCCGCGCCGTACCATGCCCTGATCTTTGCAGAAGGGTTTGTTGCTTGCCTTCACCAAGCTGCAGCTCCTCCAAAGCTGCTTTGGTGTTGGTGCATAGGAGAAATCCCAACCTTGCAAGCATGCAGCCCAGCAGGAAGGGCTAAGTAGGAAGGCTGAGCACCAGGACTGCAAGGTTTGGTCTCCATCACTGTACATTGTTGCTTTGGGCATTGTTGCTTCCCCAGTGAACCACCTGGTGACAGAGCACTGCTTCATGCTGGCTGAGCTGACATGAAACACATCAAGATTGGGGAACGTGTGATGGGCACCGGCTTAAAACTGCACACTGGTAGATGAAAGGTGCTGTATGACCGCAAATTATTACTCTTGTTAATAACGATGTCCACCAGCTCACATTTATCTGCTCTTCAATTAACTTTTTTTTTTTAAGGACTCTTAGCAGGTTAGAAAGGCACAAATTTTCCCTGGCAGAACCTGTGCTGGTTTGACCCCATAAGGTTACACAATTACTGTACTGGCATGGTCCTTAATTAGACTCTCCATAATTTTCCTCAGCATGGCGGTGTGGCTCATTGCTCTGTAATTCCCAGAATCTCCTTGGATCTGACAGGCTTTATGGCTTTATCCAGTTTTCAGGTTTCTTGTCCTTAGCATGCAGCAATGGGAACTGGCATGTTGCAGGGCCTCCTCCCACAGCCTTCCCATCCCATCAGGCTGCAAAGTCCCTTTGGCCAGCAAGGTTGGGCGCTGGCAGCTCCTTGACGTGGTGCTCCTAAATGTCAGCAGATGTTGGTTCAACCCCAGACTGTATCTTTGATCCTTTATTATTCTCCATCATTTTTCTACACTCCTACACCCTATGGGAGCTTGGGATGCTACACGTTGCTCTTTGCTTTCCATAGGCAGAGCCTGGAGCAGTGTAGTTCAGGAGCCAGGTCCTGCTGGGTCACAGCTGTGCCACATCTTCCAGTTTAGACTGAGGGCTTTGAGGCTTGGAGATTGCTTCTGCCCATGCAATGTGCAGCACCTGAGGAGTCCTGACTGCCACCTGGATGTATATTTATTTGATATATTCTTACTGTGTAAAGCACAGTTCCCATTGCTGCTTGCAGTGATGAATGTGCACATTTCTTGCAGTGGTTTTCCCTGAGCTCCCTTGCCGTGGGTCACACCAAGCCGTGCTGCCTGCTGCTTTTCCTCTCTTGTGGAGGTGATGGGTCACCCACACCATCCCCAGCATCACCACTGGGAGGACTCAGCCTTCCGTGAGGGTCTGGGGCGGTCAGTGCGTCCTTTGCAGGAGCATTGGGTCAGTGAGGACCTCTGGATGCTGGGGTTTGTAGGGACATCCAGTGCAGGGTCTGTGCCCCAAACCTGGAGTGGGATTTGGTGGCTGGAGGAGCTCTGTGGAGTTGTGGTTTCAGCCCCTGCCCTGCAACAGAATGCATGCAGCTCCGGCCTAGCCAAAATTCCTCTTTCCCTACCCACCCAATGGCTATAAATAACAAATAATAACAACTCCCAAGCTGGCGAGCCATTTGGGGTTTTGTGGGTTTTTTTGCTTTGTTTTGCTTTTTGCATTTAGGAAGTAACTTTTCATAGAAACCAATACTTCTTGTTTGGTTTGGTGTTTTTTTTTGACCAGATTCCTCATTGTCCCAGCAGCAAAGTGTTTTCATAGAGCATGGCCCAGGTGAGCAGGGAGGAAATACTTGCCAGGACTGAGCTGGGACCAGAGCTGGGCTGGTAGCAGCTGGGACTTGCTTGGAAGCAAGGCAGCTCCTGGGTATTGCTCGTCCCTTCCCTCACATCCTCCTCTTCCTTTCTCTGAATATCATTGAAATGCTTTAGTGCATTAATTTCAGACTGAATGTAAATAAGCCGTTTGGATTCCTCCCAGTTGAGCAAACTTTCAGACCAGAATTCTGCTTTCCTCTCCTCCAGCCTGGCTCATGGGATTGGAAGGATTTGCTTCAATGCTGTCTTTCCTGCACTTGAAACCACTTAATCAAGCTCTACAATATCCCTTGAATAGGTCAGACAGGCACCTGATTGGGCCAGGCAGCCTATATGGGAAAACCAAGTGAGATTACACACTCGTTTTATCTGCATAAAAAAGATTAGAAAGCTCCCAAACTAAATACCGCCGCAAGGTAACGTGTTGGTGGTGGTGAACGCCTCGCTCGACTGCCTCTGCTTCTGTCTCCATCCAATGCACTCCTTCCCTGACCGACCGCTCCTGGGAGAATAAAGGAGGGGAAGGAGACGTGGGACTCCTGACTCATGTCAATGGAGATGTGACCCATAGCCCTGGACGTGGGTCCAGATGTGTGGATCCAGATGTGGATCCAGATGTGTTGAGCTTCTCTCCTGCCCCCATATTCCTCCCTCTGTGGCCAAAGCACCTCTGGGGTGGAGGAGAACCAGCTCATCCCTCACATCCAGTTCCAGCTGAGGAGTCCAAAGCAGGAGCCATGGGAAAACCTGGGAGGATTTGACCCCAAAGCATGCCTCCAGTATTGCATCTTCCCACATCCTCCGCGCCTTCCAGCTGGGGGCCACATGGAGGGGACAATGTGTGGGTCCCTGCAGTCAGCCAGAGCCCCACTGGGTGCAGCAAGGCCGTGCTGACGGCAGCAGTGCTCCTGTTTGTGCTGCTGACACACCACTATTTCCTCTTGTTTGTGCAGGGCTTTGTGGATGGGTCAGCTCAGTCCTGAAGGCAACAGGGAGCGCAGCGTGCCTCCTGCCCTAAGCATGCAGACTTCTGCCCCTCGTCAGCACAAAGCTGGTGGTGCAGTGCAGGGCCCCTCCTGCTGCTCCTTTCCCCATGATCCCAGCTCCGTTGGCACGTTTTGCAGCAGTGTTGCAAGACACGCAGTGAAAGGCCATGAGACCGTCCAGCTTTCTTGCTTCTCTCAGCTCTTTCCCCTTCTCCCTCCATTCTTCTCAATCCCTGCACTGTTTGGAGCTCCGTGCTTTCCTGGGGCTGTTACAGAGGGCGAGTTTTGACTTTGCAAAAGGGGAGAAGAGTCAGGAAAGTTGGGAGCGTGCAGCCAGGAGGCAAAGATGAGGAACTCCACATCTCTCTGTTTTCCTAATCTCTTGCACCTTACAGCAGGGCTGTGATTCACCAAAGCCTGACTTACTGTTCTTCAAACACTTCATTGTCTCCGTCCTCAGGAAGCATCACCCTGTACCACGTTGCCTTTTGTTTCTCCCTCATGTTTGGCACAGGGCTGTGCAGATGCCGTGGTAACGCCGGGGCACCCTCATGGAGCAGAGGGCTGTGTGCAGGGCAGGACAGGAGCAGCTTACCCAGATCTCTCCCACCTATTTCTGTCTCTCTCCTAGCCAGCTTGTCCCAGTGGGCGTTGATTTAATTGCCATCTTCCTCCCTCCACCGCTGTGGCTGTGTGTGAGAGCTCATGTTGCACAGGGTAACAATTACGGCTGCAGCAGAAAGCTTCTCCAAAGTGATGCTCAGTGCCCTGAGCCCCTTCCCATGCCCTCCAGCCGCAGCTCCGATTGCTCAGCTCTGGCTCACAGCTCCATGTGGGGCTGCCCATCCATCGAGGTGTCAGCGTTTGCTTCCCACAGGCGTTGGCCAAATCCCATGGCTGTGAGTCAGGCTGGCCCAGGTCTGGACATGACAGAGGACGTGGCTGCAGCCCCGCGGGGCGTTACTCACCTTTGCACCACGCCTGTGCACAAACACCCAGCGGCGTGGGACAGCCTGCTCTCTTCACTCTTTTTCACCCTGGACTCTCACAGGAACATGAGAACCAGTTTTCCGTGCTCCTTTCTGGGGTGTGCTTGCTCCCGTTCCGTTTGGGTTTTGGAGCCAAACTGCAGAACTCAGCTGGAGCTGCTGCATTTCCCCTTGGGTGAGCACCAGAATCACCACCTCCAGGACTGGATGCAGAGAGCTTGGTGCCAGGCTCTGCAGGCGCTGCTCTGCAGGTTTTCTCAGCAGAAGTGGTGGGTCCTCCACCAGGAGCCCTTCAGAGCAGGGGGCAAATCTGCGCTCTGTAAGGTGGCACCTAAAACAAAGACCACAGGCGGGTTGTTTCTTCCCATCCCACCTGTACCAGTTGATTCCATGAAGGAATCCAGGGTGCAAGGTACAAACCAATCTCAGCCACGCTGGGGAGGGCTCAGCCTCCAGGGCACAACAGTCTTATGGGGAAACAGAGGCAAGGGATGAATGCATGGGGCTGAGGCAGCATCACTGCCAGCTGCATGCAGCCCCTCCTGCTCACCCCAGGCTGGGGGTGTGCCCCCACCTCCCTTGTAGGGCCTCTTGCTGTAGTCCCTGTAATTACACAGGTGAGGTCTGCCCAGCTCCAGCTTGTAGGACCTCTTGTTACACTGAGCGTAATGCAGTGGCCGAGGGCTCACTCTGCCCCCCTCACCCCCCCTGGCCCTGCCTGCCTGCATGTAGGATCTCTTGTTATAGCCAGGGAAATTACAGCTGTTTGGTCTCCCTCCCTTTTCCCAAGCTATAATTTAGGGTTATATAAAGTGCAGTCCAGCCCCTGTTGTGCAAGCGGCTGCTATTCCTGTGCCGGGGAGGAGGAGGGGGCTCTGCAGCCCCCAGTCACCCACTGGGGAGTGGTCCCCACTCCTGGCTGGGACACTGCAGGGAGATGCATGGCACTGGGGTTTGTCCCCACAAGGCAGGTGGGGAATTTGCTCATTTGGGATTTGGCTTGCCACAATCAAGGCAGTTCCACAGTGGCTGCTCCTGTGCCAGGGCAGTGGGATATGATGGGGGGGTGCTGGCAGAGCTCTTTCATGAGAACGTGGGGAAAAGCTTGGCTGGAGGTGCTGGGTGTTACTTTTTGGAGAGGGAATCTGAGACCTCAGGAGGGGTTTTAGGAGGGTGCTCACAGACCTCTGGCATTGCAGGAAGGGAAGCAGTGCCATGCAACCCTAAATCCATTGCAGCCATCCAGCTATACCCCCAGCTGTGCACTCTGGGTCAAAAAATAACAGCAGCCAGTGGACACGGCCTGCACCCTGAAGCAGAACCCCAAAGCAGAAACCCAAATCCAGGGCTGTGATTGCCCGGGGGCTGCGTTGGTGGCTGTGACCCCGTTCCCAAGGCACTCACCCCAACTTCTTTCTCTTGCAGAGGTGGGTGAGAGCTCACACCCTTCATCTGCAGCCCCCAGGATTGAGAAGCCCTCGGATGATGCTGAGTCCTGCACAGCGCTGCCCAACGGCACCACAGCAGCCAGGACTGAGCTCGTGGGCACTCCCGAAGCTGTGACATGTGAGTGCTCCTCGGCATGGCTGCTGCCAATTAATAAGCAATCGTGCTCATTAACGAGGCAGCTGGTGGTGGGAAACCATCATCTCCCTGCTCTGTCGGTGTGCCCTTGCTCTGTGCCCCTTTATGGGGTGGGTGGTTCTGCTCCCAGGCCACCCCTTAGCACACAGCCACCCCCGTTGGTTGGATGCGGGTGGGTTGGAGCAGGGTGGGGATGAGGTTGTGAACAGTGAAATGCAGGCACTGCTGCCCGGAGCAAGGAGAACACACGTTTCCCCAGCCCCAGCACGAGCCCTGCAAGCATCTGGGAGCTGGGCCGGCTGCCCACAGACATTCTGCATCTCTGAGTCACACCACAGCCACTGCACCCCGCACGCCGCGGCCCCACGCAGCCCCTTCCCCACCCTGTAGGGCCAAGGGGAGCACAGCCAGGCTGGTGGGGGGGCAGGGTGTGGGGTAGCTCCCTCCTTCCCCTCTGGTCCCTCAGTATTACCACCAGCAGCCCTGTTTGCAGCCCACTACTGCTGCTTTCAGTGCAGGGTCACAGCGCAGCCCGGTCCTGCTGGTGACCCCACCTTGGCAAGGAGCACTGTGGGTCTGGCACCCATCCGGGGATGCCGGTACCAGGGAGCCTGGGCTGCTCCATGAAGCATCGCCCCGGTGTGAGACACAGTGTGCCCATCCCAGAGCTTTGGGTTGGATGCAGTCGGTGCAATGGGTTGCTCCTCCCTGCGCTGCCATCGCCCCGCAGAGCATCACACACCATCTGGGGCTGCAGGTTGAAGGGCTGTCTCTCCAAAGAGCTCCTGAAAGCAATCCTGAAAGATGGAATCTATTTTTCTTAACAAAACGGGGGGATTGCTGGCTGGTCCTCCCTGCTGCTCGCTGGAGCATGATTTTGATTTACAAACAGTTTAATCTGAGGAATGCAGTGAAATGGAGAATGCCAAACCCAGCACACTGCGGGCTGCTGTAAGTTGTGCTGCTTCAGAACAAAACAGAGGGCAAAGCTGGGGGTGCAGGGAGAGCAGTGGGCAGAGGCAGCCATGCTGGGCTCTGTTGCTCATTCCCCCATAGCTCCAACCAGCCCCAGTGCCACTGTCCCCATGGGCTCCATGCGTAGTGGTGGAAGCTCAGTGTGTGCTCCTGTTCCCTTGGGATACCAAACCCTGGGACTTCAGGGAGTGGTGGGGACAAAGTGTCCCATTTTATCCATGATCCATTTCCCCTTTACCTTTTCTGCCCTTCTCTCACCCCTCTTGCTTTCAGCCCAGCGCTTTCAGCTCAGCACTGGTTGTTGTAAGCTCGTCTCACCCGAATGCCCGTGCAGACTTCTGCAGCTCCCATTTTGGAAGCACCACAGGCACAAACTTGTGGGTTTCGTGCCTCTGTCTATTTTTGCTGGTGCAAGACAGGCAGTCATTGCCACGTGGGGGGGGCTGAGCCGTGCCCCCTCCTCCCATGGGTCCCCCCGCAGCCACGCTGTGCAGAAAGCAGCTACTGTTCCCGGCGGCCGGAGGTGCCTTTGCCCTCGAGCCTCCAGGCTGAATCATCCCTTGTTTACTGGCGCGGGAGAGGGAAATCAAAGCTTGGCTAAAGCTCCGCCAGTCCAGGCCGGGTCTGTGGCTTTGATTGGCATTGCTGCAGCGGGGGTCAGACACTGCAGCCCCCTCCCTCGAGCTGTGTTTCCAGCCCTCTCCTGGCCACGCAGCCTTCACCACACATGGGGACACGGCACCGGGCAGGAGCACACAGCTGGAGGCTGATAGAGCAGATCTGCATTCCCTCCTCCGGCCGAGGAGTTCAGCCAGAGGCTGGGGAGCCCTTTTCATTACACAGCCGGGGTGATGAGCAGCACTCCAGCTTCGCCTTATCTGGCTCAGCAGAGGAGGATGGCCGTGCAGCTCTTGGGCTGCTCTGCGGGATGGCAGCCGTGCCATTGGGTTTCTTTTGGGGGCAGCAGAGGTGGAGGTTTCTCTCCATGCCCTCCGTGCCCCCACTCACCTCCACCCCTCCTGCCTGCCTGCCTGCCCAGCTGGCAGTGCTGGGCCCCCTACCCAGGTCCTCTGCTGAGGTTTGGCAGTCACACCACATCCTACACGCCAAGACGTTGTTTCTTGCTCTTTTCTCATCCCTCCCTCTCATTTCTATGACTGCCTCCTTCCCTCCAGCTGTCTCTTGCTTCTCATTCCTCAGCCATTCCCATTCTCCTGGACAGTGCTTTTGTCAGCATCGTTGCATCCCTCCTGCAATACCATGCCAGGTTCCCACATGCAGATCCCATGGCAGGGAACAGAGGCTGGGACCTCATTTGTCCCTCAGCACAGCACTGCAGGGACCAGCAGTGACCCCCTGCTCTCTCCCCAGGCCAGCCCCAGATGCGAGCAGCCACGCAGGCCGCCAGCCCCTGCACCCACCTGCTGCAGAACGGGGCTGGACAAGGGCCGGATCCAGGTGGGAACACGGGGAACGGGGTCTTCCGCCCTCTGCCCAGCTCCCAGAAGCCGCACCGTAAGCTGCAGTCCCACCACTCCATCAACAGCCAGAGCAGCAAGAAGAGCAAGGGCAGCTCCAAGTCAGCCTCATCCCACATCCCTATTGAGGCGCAGGAAGGTACCGGCTCTCCCCAAGGGGAATTTTCCTTGCTGTGCCCCCGTATCCCATGGCGTATCTCATGTAGCATCCTCCCAGCTCACCAGGACCCTGAATTTGGGTGTTGCTCCCCTCACCTCCTGCATCTGCACCACTCACCCTTCCCCAGGGCAGGTACTGATTTGGGGTCATTTCTCCTCCTCCAAAATTGGTTTCTTTTGGGGTCTGGGCATGTCTCAGGCATTGAGGGAGCAGTGTCTGGCTCCCAGCTCCATCCCACCCCCTCCCTTAGTTCCCAGTTTTCATCCTTTGGGGGCTGAGCATCCATTCACCAGCCCAGCACTGGTACCACTCCTCCCTGCCCACTCTCTCTGGCTGTTCCCCTGCAGACTGCTGTGTCCACTGCATCCTATCCTGCCTCTTCTGTGAGTTCCTGACCCTCTGCAACATCGTGCTGGACTGTGCCACCTGCGGCTCCTGCACCTCCGAGGACTCCTGCATCTGCTGCTGCTGCTGCAACTCGGGCGAGTGCGCGGACTGCGACCTGCCCTGCGACATGGACTGCGGCATCATCGACGCCTGCTGCGAGTCAGCCGACTGCCTGGAGATCTGCATGGAGTGCTGCGGGCTCTGCTTCTCCTCCTGAGGGCCGGATCTGAGGAGAGGGGACCGTTCCCATCCCTCCTGCAGGTCCCCCAGCAGGCAGTGTGGAAACCCGGGCGTGAAATGCCAAAGATGGAACCCAGTGAGGAAGGAGGGTGCTACCCCCCCTGCTGCAAACCTCATCCTCAGAGCTGGTGAGCCCGCTGGATCCTGCCTAGGGAAGGGTGAATCAGCAGGGCTGGGGACGGCCATAGAACTCTACCTCTTCCCCACGCCCAGGGTGCACAGGAGCATCCTGCCACCTGAGCCGAGCGCAGGAGCTCCCACCCCACGCCATCCCAGGACACTGCTCCAGGTGCTGTGCCATGCTTTGGGGTGGCCCAGGGCATCCTCACTTCTTGGATCCTCCGAGGCTGGGTGCAGCAGAGCCTTCCACCCCACAGAGATGCCCTCTGGCAGGCAGGCTGTGTGGGTGGGCGCAGCCCCCAGCCCTCCTCGGTGCTGACATTGGCAGCCAAGTGCAATAACCAGCCTGCAGGGGGTTTCCCCCACAGCCAAGTGCCTTCATCCCCACCCACTCTCTTCCTGCAGGACTGGAGCAGCCGTGCAAGCTGTGACCAACCCCAAGTGCATCCCTCATTGAGCAGCTTGGTGCAAAATGACCCCCAGCAGCTGCTGGCCCTCGTCCCATCACCGCAGGGACAAGGCTTGTGGCTGGGGGAGGGCAGAGAACACCCTGCTGGAGGGCTGGGGAGAAGGGGAGGGAGAAGTGTCATGGTATTATTATTATTATTATTATTTTGTCTTTGGTCCCTTTTGTTACTGTAAATAAAGGTCTTTCTTCATTTCTGAATGGGGGCTGCTGCATCACCTCATGTGCCCAAGGAATGGCAGCTCACAGCCACACTGCATTGCCCATCTCCACATCCTGCTGCAGCTCAGGGGCACTGGGACCTGCAGGGGCTGTGGGGCTTTATCTCGGCACTGCGGCCATGAGGTGGCTCAGCAGCAGACCTGGAGCTTTCCTGTCCTCTGCCCCTCGCTTCACCTCTGTCACAGGGGCATAATGTCCCTAAAAGGAGACAGGCAGCCGAGTTTGGTGGCTTGGGTTCTCCTGTGCCAGCTCTCAGCCCAACTGAGCGACTGCCAAACATGGCATGCTGTGCCATGCTATGCCAGTAAGAGACCATGACCCCCCAAGAGATTGGCTTAAGGTCCCAACCACCCCAGTGAGGCTGCAGGCTGGGCTGAAGTTGAGCAAGGAGGGAAAAACACTTAAAAACCAAGGCCAAATGGGTCAGTTGGTCACAGCGACAAGGGCTGGTTCGGGATCTGGGCTGCCTGCCCTCCAGGGCCGCCGTTCAGCCCTTCAACCTATTTTTAGTGGTGAGCGGAAGGCAGTCACAGCCCGGTGCTGGGCAAGTGCACAGCAGGGAGGAGGAGATGCGAGCAGCCTTCCTCTGTCCTAAGCATGACGGGCGGCAGATTGGGGTTTTAACCCATCCTCAAATGCAGCTGAGCCCCAGGGCGAGGAGTGGGGGCTGTGTTTTGGTGTCTGCTCCTGGACAGGCAGCGGCAGGGCCCCAGCACAGAGCGGGTGGGAGCATTTCCACGGTTCTGGCTGCAGCTCGGCTCCAAGCCGCTCACATCCTTGGCAAGGAGGGATTGAGGCGCCGGCCTTCCCCAGCCCGGCCTCACTCGTGGTGCTAATTAGGGAGGTTGGAGCTGGCGGGCTGCTCTCCCTATGGTAACGAGCGCTGCTGGAGATGCTTAATGGGGAACAGATTCCCCTGGTTCAGGAGCGCCCTGGGGTTGGTCGGGCTGTGCTTGTGTCCCAGTGTGGGAAGGACGGCACGCACCCAGGGAGAAAAGAATGCAAATAAAATAGCATTATGCCCAGTGCAGCTTCCCATAAACACAGCTCTGCCTTGCAAAGCAGTGCTCCGTCCTCAAAGAGGGCCAACCTCCTCCACCAGTTCCATGGGCCAGGTATTGGCACAGCAAGGCCAGGGTTTTTTAAGTCCCTTTCTCAAGCCTGGATGGCATTTGCTACCTGCGGTGTGCTGCAGTGTGGGAATGGTGGTGCAGAGCAGCACGAGTGCCTGGAAAGGGCTGGAAGAGCCAAGTACACGCCTGCCTCTGGCTGCAAGCTGCTGCTGGCCATGCACCTTGCAAAGCACTGGGGAAGGCAGGGGTTAACCCTCTGGCTTGGGAATTAATTAACAGCAGATGTGCACCATTTTTTAACTAATTACTCTCCTGCTAGCACTTGGTTTTCACTCCTGGTGCGGAAGCCTCAGAGCTGGGAGCTGTTGCAATGTGCCCATGCAGATGCCAGCCCTGAGGCTTGCTGCACCAATGCCCGGGCTCACCCGTGTCCCCCCCCCCCCAGCCCAGCTGGGAGGGAATTGAGTTAAATGGGCTAAAGTTCATGAAATGATCCATTACTCTGTTCCTGCCGTTTTTAAAGCTCCGTGACCAGGTGATGTGGCTCTGCCTGCCAGGATGGGGGTATAGTGGGCACACAGCCCTACCATGGGCAGGGAGAGCTGCGTCACTCATTGCCTTCAGGGCTTTCTCTTGCATCACTCTGCTGGCGATTTGTTACAGGTGAGACATTGGATGTATTAATAATAGAAGCTGATCCTCTAATTGCTGCCACCCTGCGTGTTCCTGGGGCTGCCCACCGAGGTGCACAACGCTTGGCAAGGCAGCAGCATGCAGCAGGGCCCTGACATGCCATGCAAGCAGCTGAGCCCCTCCTGCCCCACGGCTGGGGGGTGCTGGGCAGCTCAGCACTGATTGCTTTCAGCAGCCGTGGCTATTTCTGTCCACAATGGCAATCAATAAAGCAAGCAAGAAGATTTTTTTATTTTCCACTCCAAATACTTTCTTCATCCCATTTCCTCCCTGCTCACAGGGTGTGCTCCAGCCAGGGGGCCCACGGAGTCGGCTCCTTCCTCCTCCCCACTGCTCCCGCTCCCCATCCCAGCCCTGTGAGATCCCCATTTGATGCACTGTCAGGGCAGGTTTGGCCGGCATTGAGAGAACGGCATCCCACATGTGCGTGCGTGCGTGCACACACTGACACACATACGCATGAAAACACTTCCAGAGCCAAAAGCCAAAAAAAAAAATATAATATTAGAGCTCGGTCTCTGCAAGCTGTGCAGCTCATGTAATCCCAGTTCTGCCGTGTGAGGGGGGACAGACCGAGGGGAGATGACTGCAGTCTATTAAACTTCCTTTGAGAACCTGCCAGCCTGACAGCAGCTGGAAGGAATTAGCTGCTCAGGTCCACCAGCTCGGCTCCTCGCTTTCACCCTTCCCCAAAACACAGCCTGGGGCCGCAGCCCCGGCAGCACTGCGTTTTCCCGGTTCTCTGAGAGCCCCGAAGCTGGGCAGGAGCCGGGCGGGGCCGACGTGTCTTTGATCCCCGTTCTGCGATAAACGTGAGCGACCGATGAGAGGAAAGCTGCTGGCTGCCGACGTCCTGCACGCGTGCAAAGCGCTGGCAAGCGTTCATAGGGCAGCCAAAGCCCACGTCTGCTGCCGCTGCCTGGCGGCGTCGTGCTGTGCGCTGTGCTGGGGACGCGGTGCTGCGCCCTCACATCATCGCACAGGGTGCTGCCGGCCCCGCTGTGGGATCAGGGCTGTGATTACCCAGAGCCGTGCGCTGTCTCCGGGGATGAGGTGCAGAAGCCGTCTGATCGCTGGAGCAGCGCAGTGTTGGCCAAAGCTGTCGGGTTTTGCTGCCAAGCGGCAATTTGCCTGAAAGCACCGCTCCTCCAGCCGGCCCCGGGGCTGGGACCCAAGCGGAGTCCGTATATCTCCACGTTCTGCCTTGCTACCAAGTTGGAAAAGGAAAACGCAGAGCGGTTGGTGTTAACCCTCTCCTGGGTGCTGCAGAGGAGCAGTCCCTCACCCTTAAAGGCTGCTGGGACCCAATGGGGAGGGTGGGGGTGGGCAGTGCAGGGCTTGTGCCCCCAAAACACTGAGGTCTCAGAGATGCAGAAAGGGATGAAGCCAGGAAGCGTGTCCCTGCTGGACCTATGGTTCCCAGGGGGTCATACACGTACGTGTACCCATGCACACACACACCCGGGGCCCATGTGTTCAGTGAAATCCTTTCAGCTCCTGCCCGAAGCAGAGCACCATGGTAGAAGCCTAGTTTTAAACTGAAAGAGGGAAGATTTAGGTCAGATGTTAGGGGGAAATGCTTTACCTAGGGGCAGTGCTGGCACTGCTGCCCAGAACTGTAGGTGCCCCATCCCTGGAGGTACCCGAGGCCTTGGATGGGATCTCTGGGCAGCCTGAGCTGGGGGGAGGGGCAGTCAGCCCACAGCAGGGAGGATCTGGGGAGGCTGTAAGGGCTCCAACTGAGCTGTGGTTCCAAGAAGTCCATCCATGGGACAGCCAGATGGAGACAAGGATCTCAGCACCACCAGGCATGGGGCAGGTTAGGTGTGTGGGGCCATGGGGGGCCAGATCCTGCCTGGCATTACACCTCATGTTACGTGGACTGGTCGCATCCTCTGCCATGGGCCTGAGCTGGGAAACGTGGCCAATAAAATTCAGAGCAAGTTTATTTCCGTTTCACTAACATTCCTTACACACTCAGCACCTTAATGCACACAGAGTGCTGTGAGCCCATAGGCGCCGCTTTGCCTCTACCTCCCTTCTTTCGTCTCAGCTGCCACCACCACTGCCAGCAGCTCCAGCAGCCCTCATTCCCCCATCCACAGACACTGCAGCCATTGCACGAGGGCCATCCCAGTGCCACCAGTCCATCCTGCTGCACGGTACTGGGGGGTTACCCGACCTGCAGAGTGAGCGGAGACCACTGTGTGCAGCTTGTCAGGAAGAGGTGCCTCATAAAGCCAAATAGTGATTTCCTGCTGCAGGCGGTGGGAGTTGTTTTCTTTACAGACGCGGCTGAAACCGGAGAGGGGATGGAGAGAGCTGAAATATCTGGGAGCTGCGGTGCCGTGAGACAGCGCTGGCAGCCAATGCACACACACAGACAGGCAGCACCCGCGGGGGTGCCAACATTTGAAAGCCATTAAGGGGAATATTTGCAGAGGAAAATTCGGCCCTACCTTTAACCCCACACAGAAACGCACCGAGTGGCCGCGGTGAGTTATAGGGTGAAAGAAGTGGCACCGTTTTTGTTTTAAGCCCATCCCTCCCAAGCAGGGAAAGTTGGCACGTGTTTCACACACGTGTGGGACAGGGCCAGCAGCCGCCCCTTCCCGAGCATTAATTCACTCCTATTTATGTGCTCAGCCTCATATGGGCTCCTCATACGGCTGTTCCCAAATGTGAAGGTGGCACCTGGGAGTGACCTGAGCCTCCCGTTCCCTCCATTCATGTGTATGTGTGAGAGGGACCCCTCTGTGTGCCACAGCGTCTGGCTGTGTGTGTGTATACACATACATACATAAATAAAACCCTTCACACACGCTGATCCATATGTATGGTTGCCTGCTTGCATCGATGCAGACACACAGAGATGCACACACACACACGTTGTGCACCCATCTGCTCACGCCCAAGCTTTGTGCACCCCCAGCACTCCTCCCCACACCATCCCACTGTTCCAGGCTCCATCCCAGCAGCAGGCTCTGCTCCCCTGGGCTCTGTGTGGCTCTCCCAGCACTGGGATGCCCCGTGTTTGCTCTCCATTCTACAAAATACCCCCTTCGTTCTCCTTCCCATGCAATAGTCAGCAATTTGGGAGCCACCCCCTGCGCTGCCATTTGGTGTTAATTATCTGGAGGGAGGTGGGGCTGATGGCTCCTATTTCTGCACTGTTCATTTCCAAGCTCGTTAGCACCTAATCCTGTTCCTGGCTATGGGCAACGATGGATTTTGCGTTCTAGGCTCTGAGTTTCAAAGCATGCCTGCACACCCAGCACTGCTGGTATCCTCTGCCTGCTGCAAGGGCAGGTAAGCAGCTCACCTGTGTTTGCCTTGGCTGTTTTACTCGAGATTTTGGCAGCACCGCGGGCTGTGCTGGTGATTACCAGCTGACCTCACACCTCCAAGCCGCCTTTTCTCTCTTTGCAATAGCGCACCTCCCAGCTGTCTCCACACCTCCTCTCTTTGTGCTCGGCCCCTGCCATGGCCCCGTCTGCACCCCAGCTCCGAGATGGCTTCCAGATGCCGCGAGCACCCGGCTGCATTGCTCCGGGCCGCAGCCCCATAGCACGGGTTATCCTTAGCCCCACAGATGCTGACAGCACAAACCCGGCCTTCTCCATACCGCCCGGACACACCAGACCGCCCGAGGTGTGAAGTGCTCTGGATGCTCCCACCAGGCCCATCCGGCTCCTCGCAGTTCCGAGCTGATGTTACCGGCGTGCGGCTGCCCCCTACCGCAGGGCATCCCGGCCCCGAGCCGCTCAGCTCCGGGGGAGGGAATGGAGGTGGGTTTTGTTGCAGAAGCGCTCAGCAACCGCGTCTCTTAGTGACATCCTTCCGGTCAGCAAAGAGGGTATAGAATTTTGCTTGCAGCAGATTCTGGTCTGAAAGCTCTTTGATGATTCCTCTGGGGGAAGGAAGGGAGGAACAGAAGAGAGGGAAAGGAAAGAGGAAAGGAGAGTAGAGAGAGGAAAAAGAAAAGGGAAAAAGAAGAGGAAAGGGAAAGGAAAAAGGGAAGGAAAAAGAAAGGAAAAGGGAAGAAAAGAATGGGAGGAAAAGAAAAAGGAATGGGGGGTGGCGGGGAGGAGGGAAAGGAAGGGAAGGAAAGGAAGAAAAAGGAAGAAAGAAAAAAAGGAAAAGGCACACTAAGAGAGCTGTTGGAAGCTGCCTTGACAGTGCCGGGGCTGCTCAGCTCTGCCTGCCCCGTGGCAGTGACACCCCCTGAGGGGCTCTGGGGCTTCTGTGGGGGGTTTTGCTGCAGAGCTCTGGGCCCAGCCAGCCGTGGGGTGTTGCAGCAGTGATGGAGATGGATGCAGGATTTGCCAGCAGCAGATCTCAGTGGTGATAGGGCTGTACAGGGGCTGAGGTGCCAAGGGCCCTCAGCAAGGCAGGACTCCCTGCACCAGGGTTCCCTTTCTAGGGTCAGTAGGACCAGCTGTGCAGTGAAAGGATGAGATACACATGTTCTGCTTCCCCCACAAAGCACAGAAAGCAGCTGGTGTAACCCAGGCTGGTGATGGGAAGGGAGGACAGGGGAAGCCCACACAGCCAGCTCCACCTCTCTTTATGCTGTGCTGAAGAATTCTG